AGGTTCTGGAGAGGGCAGGTGAAGGGGAAATGCAGCTACAAATTTGATCCTCCCTTACACTGAGACTCCCTCAGCCCTACTTACTCTATTGATGCTTAAAGGGAAGCTAAACTGTAACTTACACATCCAGAACGTGGAAGATGGTGTAAGACGGTACATGTTAGAGTAAGGTGGAGGCTATGTCAGCTTACATCTTCCAGCTCCTCGACTTGTAAATTACAACAAGTGAGACTCTCTTACACATTGAGGGAGTGGCTACACGTAGCTCTAAGGATGTGTGAGTCTAACATACACATTATCCACATCACTTGTGAGTTTGGCTCCTGTCCCTGGCTTATCAGATCCCTGCCAGTCCTACGTAGGATGTACCTCAAAAGTTTCTCTCCGACTTCTGAGGAGTTTTCAGGAAATTTTGCCTGGGCTCCCCCCACTATTACATGTGAAGGGAGGATGTGACTGAAATCAGTCAGTATGCTTATTATTGCATCCTGTCATAGTCTCTGACTAGTAGTTACTTGGCAAACACAGTATTGTTAAATCACAGATTTAGGTCCCTTCCAGTCCTATGATTCTAATAGGAGTAAATTATTATTGATCTATAATAGGGCTGTTAAGCGATTAAAAAAATTAATCTCGATTAATCACACGATTAAAAATTAATCTTGATTCATCGTGTTAATTATTGAATACCATTTATTTAAATATTTTTCGATGTTTTCTACATTTTCAAATATATTGATTTCAATTACAACACAGAAGACGAAGTGTATAGTGCTCACTTTATATTTACTTTTGATCACAAATATTTGCACTGTAAAAAAACAAAAGAAAAAGTATTTTTCAATTCACCTCGTACAGGTACTGTAGTACAATCTCTTTTTCATGAAAGTTAAATTAAAAATATAGAATTATGGATAAAAATAACTGCATTGAAAAATAAAACAATGTAAAACTTTAGAGCCTACAAATCCACCCAGTCCTACTTCAGCCAATCGCTCAGACAACCAAATTTGGTTACAATTTACAGGAGATAATGCTGCCTGCTTTTTGTTTACAATGTCACCAGAAAGTGAGAACAGGCGTTCGCATGGCACTGTAGTAGCCAGCATCACAAGATATTTATGTGCCACATCCACTAAAGATTCATTTGTCCCTTCATACTTCAACCACCATTCCAGGGGATATGCATCCATACTGATGACAGGTTCTGCTCGATAACAATCCAAAGCAGAGTGGACCGATGCATGTTCATTTTCATCATCTGAGTCAGATGACACCAGCGGAAGGTTGATTTTCCTTTTTGGTGGTTAGGGTTCTATAGTTTCCGCATCAGAGAGTTCCTCTTTTAAGACTTCTGAAAGCATGCTCACACCTCATCCCTCTCAGATTTTGGACGGCACTTCAGATTCTTAAACCTTGGGTCGAGTGCTGTAGCTATTTTTAGAAATCTCACATTGGTACCTTCTTTGCATTTTGTCCAATCCGCAGTGATAGTGTTCTTGAAAGGAACAACATGTGCTGGGTCATCATCCGAGACTGCTATAACATGAAATATATGGCTGAATGCGGGTAAAACAGAGCCGAAGACAGAGTTCTCCCCCAAGGAGTTCAGTCACAAATTTACCCAACGCATTATTTTTTAACAAGCATCATCAGCATGGAAGCATGTCCTCTGGAATGGTGGCCAAAGCATAACAGGGCATACAAATGTTTAGCATATCTGGCATGTAAATACCTTGCAACGCTGGCTACAAAAGTGCCATGCAAATGCCTGTTCTCACTTTTAGGTGATGTTGCAAATAAGAAGCAGGCAGCAGCATTTCCTGCAAATGTAAACAAACTTGTTTGTTTTAGCGATTGGCAGAACAAGAAGTAGGACTGAGTGGACTTGTAGGCTCTAAAGTTTTACATTGTTTTGTTTTTGAGTGCAGTTATGTCATCAAAAAAATCTGCATTTGTAAGTTACACTTTCAGGATAAAGAGATTGCACTAGAGTATTTGTATGAGGTTCATTGAAAAACACTTTCTTTTGTTTATCATTTTTACAGTGCAAATATTTGTAATAAAAATAATAATATAAACTGAGCACTGTGCACCTTGTTTTCTGTGTTGTAATAGAAATCAATGTATTTGAAAATATAGAAAAACATCCAAAATATTTAATAAATTTCAATTGGTATTCTATTGTTTAACAGTGTGATTAATTGTGAATTTTTTTTAATCTAGATTAATTTTTTTGAGTTAATGGCGTGAGTTAACTGCAATTAATTGAGAGCCCTAATCTATACCTAAGGCTACGATTTAGTCATGGGCATTTTTAGTAAAAGTCATGGGCAGGTCAGGGGCAATAAACAAAAATTCACGGCCCATGACCTGCCCATAACTTATACTATAAATATCACTGACTAAATCTTGTGCGGAGGGGCGCTGCTGCAAGGAGTGCCCCGGAGGACCACTGTCAGTAGCTGCTGAGCAGCAGCAGCTCCAGCTTCTCCAGGGACCACTGCTCGGGCGGTCCCTGGGGTCAACCGCGCTGGCTGCTGCTCGCTGAGCAGTGGCCGGTGCAGCTGACTGCGGGGCTGCCCGAACGACTGGTTACAGAACTGCTCCAGCAGCGGCCAGTGTGGCTGTCCCTGAGGAGCTGGCCCCAGAGCCAGCTGCTTAGGCAGTCCCGGGGTCAGCCACACTAGTCACTGTAGAAGCCACAGAGCTCATGAAAAGTCATGGAATCCGTGACTTCCGCGACCTCTGTGACAGACAGAGTCCTATCTATAAATGACTATTATAAGATTAAATGTAGCTTTGCAATGTGCATCCAGCATGTGAGTTTCACAGCGATATTGTTGCCCTGTTGAGTAGCCAGGATGTTACTCATATTCAGAGATAGGAATGACAGGATTGCTAGTAAGTATTCCATTATATAACAAAGTAAGAATACAATCCATGTTACTTTTGTCCTTGAAAATAATCAGATTACTTCTCAGGATTAAATTTTTAAAGTGTAGTGCATTACTATAATCAGTTATTCTAACACACGGGACAATATTCTTCAGGCCCTTACACCTTGTGTAGTGATTTATGCCTGTACAAAGTGGATACAAAATACTATTACAATGGCAGCATTTCACCCCACTCTACAGAGGTGTAAATGACTACACAAGGGTAAAACAATGGACTAGAAGACCCATCATCTGCATGTGTTCTACAGCCAGTTTACAACGGTAAATATTATTGGCTATTTTACTGTGTTTTTAAATGTACACGTCACCAAAAATGATTACGATAAATTCTGAACCAGTCTCTTTGAAAAGACTCTTTTTTAAATGCAGTGTTGTTGTAGCAGTGTCAGCCCCAGGATATTAGAGACACAAGGTGGGTGAGGTAGTATCTTTTATTGCACCAACTTCTGTTGCTGAGAGGGACAAGCACTGGAGCTACACAGAGCTCTTCTTCAGATTTAGGAAAGGTACTCAGTTTCACAGCTAAATACAAGACAACAGATAGTTTAGCATAAGTAGTTAGGACCCCTAGTTGTCACCTATCACCTTATATTGGAATCTATATGATGTATCATGGGGTAATCTCAAACAACTACAACCCATACAAAATGGGGACCACATCCGGAAAGAAATCTTTTCTGAACCCCTGCTCTTCTGGCCTTCAAACAAGCCCCCAAACTCTCCAAGCTCACAATCAGAATTAAGCTCCCCACAGACCAGGACACTGCCAGAACAAGAGATGCAAAACCTGCAGATATATCCCCACTGCTACAATGATCAGTATCTCCTGCAACACATCTTTCAAGATCCACGTGTCCTATCAGAACATGTGGTATGCCTCATCCAGTGCACTAAATGCCCCAATAACAACTACGTGGGTGAAACCAGACAATCGTGCTCTTGAATGAACTCACACAGAGAAATGATAAAAGACAAAAACGCCACATCAGCTGAGGGTGACACTTTTTACAAGGTGATCACTCTATATCTGACCTATCAGTCCTCACTCATCCTCAGAGGAAATCTGCACAAAATTTTCAGAAGACGAGCCCGGGAGCTTAAATTCATAATTTTGCTCGACACTAAAAATCATGGGCTTCGGGCTTGTCTATACTGGCAACGTTAAAGCGCTGCAGGCCCCTAAAAAACCTGCCTCCATGAGGGGCGCGGCTCCCAGCGCTGCTGCACTGTCTACACTAGCGCTTTATAGTGCTGAAACTTCCTGCGCTCAGGGGGGTGTTTTTTCATGCCCCTGAGCCAGAAAGTTGCAGCGCTGTAAAGTGCCAGTGTAGACAAGCCCTTAATAGAGACACTGGATTTATGGCTTATGTGCTCACTACTTGATGCTAAACTATCTGTTTGATCTTGTATTTAGCTGTGACCCACTGAGTACCTTTCCCAGACCTGAAGAAGAGCTCTGTGTAGGTCAAAAGCTTGTCTCTCTCACCAACAGAAGTTGGTCCAATAAAAGATACCACCACACTCACCTTATTTTTTTATTTAAATCTCAGCTGTCACTTTTTTAGTTCTGCAAAGATACAAAATATTTAGAAATAGCTCATTGTTATTTGATTCACACTCACGTTAATTTACGAACGGACAAAGTGTTTATTTTGAAATTTTAGTTAAGGGTGGAGGAATTGCGCTATCGCTGAGACACACTCTGCTCAGTTAAAGCCTAAAGATAATGATTACAGCATAGTCTGAAATGTCCCAAAATAGGGGTTTGTTTACCAGTGAAACATGACTGACCCTAACCATGTTTATTACTTAGAGAGCTAAAATCAAATAGTAACATTTTAGGGCAGTCGGAAGTGGGGTCATTGGAAAAAAGAAGGTCAATGAACAGCTAAGTGTTGCGTACAATGTATAATTATGCATAAACCCCATCCGCGTATTTAGCTAGGTGACCCTGATATTGCAGGTATAATAAATGGAGCTATTTATCAGACCTTATCTCTTCCTCAGCTCAGTGTTACAGTTACGTGATGCATTTTTTACCTGGGCTGGAGCACTGGATGAAAGATGAGTCAAGTCTCCGATTCTGGCAGCAGCTCGGGGATCACTAGAGCTGATCAAAACTGGAGCACTAATGTCCATGGAATGCCTGTTATGCATGGCCTGAGAGGATTTGTGTGTCATACTGAGAGCAGTGAAGGAGTGGCGTTTCTTGGCATTCTTCTTGCCATCAATATGCCGCTGAATGGCACTGACTGCTCCTGTATTGTTTAAAGTAGAGCACTGGGCCAAATTTACTGCCATGTTGGTGTCAGATGGCAAAGGGACATCACAGCCAGATGCAGCAGCTAAGCATGTCTTGTCCATCTCTATAAGCTGTTTAGCTGATTCGTTGAGCTAAGTGCAGAGAAAAAAAAAAAAGAAGAATGGGGAAATTAAAGAACTGTCACATCTAGCCACTGAACCTGTGAGTTCAAATGCTGCACTCATGCCAGCACTATTAGGACTTCACTTACAGAAGCACCAAAATCCTTCTGAGCGTTTAAAAATAAATAGTGGAAGCCCATAATTTTAATACTCTTACACCCATGTTGAGTGTAATCCCATGGAAATCAATTCAGGCTAAAAAATTCAGCTTCCTGAAAGCAGCTACAAGCTTTCAACTCCCCAAGGCTCTAAAGAAGACAGTATAGCATTTCTATCCACGTCAAGTGATGTGAACAGAAGAAAAAAAGCAAAATAGTAAGGAATATAATTTATACCCACTTTAAGGCCCCTTTACACAGCCAAAGCCATGAAAAGGGGCAGTAGTGTAAGAATTCAGGCCAGTGGGTCTAAAATTGAACCAGCCCGAAATGGAGGAACCCAAAACTACAGCCCACTTTTCAAAATGTAGCCAGAAGTAATTTGCCTGAGACTACAGAGGAGCTACTGTCACAGCTGGGGTTAGAACTCAATACTTCCTGCATTCCCTAGTCCTGAGCAGAGTGTGCTATGCTATATTCTTTTTGCTAAACAATGCCTCTCTCATCTCAAATGCCAGGCCAGCAAAGTCTGTCAAGGTTTAACAAAATTGTTGGTGTTGAATAAAATGATATATTTGTTACCCTATGTACCCATGCTGCTGTATAAGTAAATGCTACTAAAGAATTCACTAATAGTGCTTTGTCTATGTCCTGCCAATCTCTCCAGTATAATATCTCACTTTTCACAGGGTTATTATAAATATGTACTCTAGGCTTGTCAGTCCAAGAGCATTTCTTCCAAAATCTCTCTAATATTTTTTCTTTAAACATAACTAATATTTTTATCTGTGTACAAAATTAAAGCAAAGGCTTTTTCCAGTTGTATCATTTCGACTGAGCAGTATCACAGTATCGCACCTATTCTAACAAGATGCAGTCAAAGCCGAATAAACAATAAACAGGAAACATTAAAAATGGTTCCCAAGAACTCTCTCCCACAGTTTCAAAACTTAGCATACAGTCCACGTGGAAAGCAGACATTGGAGAGGAGGCAGCATACCACGAATATCTATTCTCTACCAACTAGTCATGATCAATTTAACAGCTCTGGGTGGCCCTGACCCTACAAAATGCAGAAAACATGCTATGTGGAAGTCCCATTTCTCTGAGGTTCTTGACTTGCCAGCTAACATAACTCATATAAGAAAGAACCTTTCTTACACAGTTAGAAATTCTGTAGACACACAGAGATGACCATATTCACTGTTCTACAAGGCACATTCTGGAGTAAGAAGCATTTTCTAAGACACTCATTGCCAACAGTCTGAGCATCCCTCAAGGGGTGCTGACAGTTGGGGGACAGGGAGATGGTATGACTCAGCCAACAGACTTTTATATTAAACTAGAATACCACACAATAGGATTTGTATTTAATGAACAGAATCAATATATGAATGATGTTGACTAAGGTAAATACCTGCACATTTTCACATATACTAGCACTCTGAGGTTCATCTAAACCAGAGTACACAAAAGATTACATTGGATGAGCATGGATTTTATTACGGTATTGCTATTAATAAATGCTAATTATTATGGTATCACCAAAACACCCCAGTCAAGCTTAAGGCCTCATTATGCTGCACAAACATATAGAATGACATAATCTCTGCCCTGAAGACCTGACAAGCCAAATTTTAAAACAAGACATAGCAAGTGACGGTAACTGTAAGAGAGAGGGAGGCAAGACAAGAGTAACAGGATCATACAGTTATGTAGCTTTGTTGTGAAACAGCTTGATGGTTCCAAATCATTGTAACAGAATTCTAAAATAAAATAAATAAATAAACTGGGTCAGCATTTTTCCATAGCTCTCATAATTCTTATGGATGCCCGACTCCAGTTTACAAAGCCTCATTCCCAAGTAAGAGGTGATAAAACATTAACATCCAGAACATAAACACACTGTAATTTTTCATCCACTGACAACCTCCACCAGCCAAACAACAACCTCCAATTAGTGATGCACTGCTACTGACAGTGCTGGGAATAGCTGCTGGGAGTAACTGATACCATTCAATTACAAGGCCATTTTACCAGCTGCATTCTTCAATATGGGACCATTACAGGAGCCAGCACTGTGCACTGCACCTGCCAGTTTTTGCCTATAACAGCTGATCCCATTTGAGACTCTTCAAGAATGTCCATTATTTCCCGCTTCATCATGTCCTAAATTAGTATAGCCTAATATTTGCCAGCAGGCTCCAAGTGGCAACAAAACCAGATGGTTCTTAGGTGTTACAGCTCTGCTTACCCAATCGATGGAGACCCCCTTACTGAATAATTTAAAAACGTTAAGGAGGGAAGCTGAAACACTATCACAATTTATGAGATACAGAAGGTCTCTTTTCTGCCACAGAACATGATGAATTATTTTGCTAGTGAGTATCAAATGGGCTAGGAATATCTGCAAAGAGTTTAATAAAGTGTTTTCTTGGACTCTGTGATAGGACCCTGGTTTCACAGCAATGTCCCAAATGGAGTCAGAAGTGCTCCTGCTTTTACTCTTAACATCAGAACTATAATTCACTATCTAATAACCCATCTATAAATCCCATTTGTCAATCTTGTCAGAAATACAGTAATGGGCAACCACTGTAGAACAATGATCAGGCTCTGGCATAAGAAAGAAACGCTGGAAATATTTTAGAGGAAAAGTGAATCAATATGTTTATAGCTGTATCATTTTCTTTTCTTTTTCCTTCTCGCTTGATGACCAAGTTCCAGAGGCTTATCTTCTAGTGAGTCTGGCCCCCAGGTACCAATATATGCCTCATAAAGGCACTATGGATATGGAAGAAAAAGCTGAGCTAGGACATTGATTCCTTTTTGTAAATGGCTTTTACAACTTCTTTTTTAACCTGAATACAAACCTCCCATTAAACACTAAGAATTTAAACGTATCATTAATTTCTGTTGTCCTTCAGCTGATCTTTATACAGTAACTGTTTGCAGTATCAAAGCTTAATGGAAAGCTCTTTAAAACTACCCATGATTTCGACCCATTGACAGTCTCAGGAACTGGACATTTCTAGAGCACGGTATATCCTACTGCAATTTACCGAATCTTTAATTTCAGAATCTGCATTTTCTAACATCTCTTTGATGTAAAAATAAAAGAAAGCCTTAGGCCATGTCTACATTACGGACCTTACAGTGGCATAGCTGTACTGATGCAGCTGCATTGCTGTAAAGTCTCCTGTGCAGCCGCTCCATGCAGGTGGGAGACAGCTCTCCCATTGGCATAATTAAGCCACCCCCAACAAGTACCGGTAGCTATGTCAGCAGAAGAGCACAGCTGACATAGGGCTGTATGCAAGAGCACTTATGCCAACAAAACTTATGTCACTCAGGGGCATGTTTTTTTCATACCCCTGAGCAACAAAAGTTTTGCTGACATAAGTGCCAGTGTAGACATGGCCTTACGTTGAAATCCTAGCCCCTCTGAAATCAATGGCAAAACACCCATTGACTAAAATGGGGCCAGGATTTCACCCCAACTATTTATATAACAAAGCGAGCCATGGGGATACCACAGAAAACTCAGCATATAACCATTATGGACAGGATCCTGCCAGGTGCCGAGCACTCTGACCCTGATGTAACAAAGCACTTAAGCACATGCTTAACTTTAAGCATGTGAGTAGTCCTGCAGTTTGGGGGCAGAGTGATCAGCTTCTTGCTAGGTAAAGTTTTATAGAAGGCTTGTGAGAGGAAGGAAAAGATCTATAGGAGAGGACCATGTAAGGGTTGTGAAATGCTCCTTATGTAAGATTGTCTATAGGGACTCAGTTAATTGATTTTGGGTTGCACATGGCTAAGATAATTGTATAACAAGCATCAGCTTGTAGGGTTATTGTGTCCCCTCCCTATGAGGAAATGCTCACACTAGTGGTAATTGCATCAATAACAGGGGCTTGGTTTTGCTAATTTTGTCTCAGACAGTGATATTCTCAGAACAAGCTTCCTTCAGGGGCTAGTTCACCTCCACACAACCTTCATTCTCAAAGGGAACAATGATCAAGCTCCATTTCATTTAAAAATCTGCTGCCCTTGGTCTGGGCCTCGTTGCACACCAATTCACAATATAAGCTGCCATGATTCTGGCATTTAGCCAAAGACAGTCCATCACCAGGTCATTCAAAATGAACCAGGTGCTTTTTTCCCCCTCCAGTTCTTTATTTCACTTTTAGATATTCTACTTAAGCCTTTACCACATGGGCTACAAAGGTACAAGTACTAAGCTGGATCATTCAGGACTACTACTGCTGCCAAAATTGTTTTATTAGACTCCAGATAAACTTTACTTTTCTGCAGAACACATTATGATGATTCTCACTCTCTCAGACATTTCAATCTCTTATGTGTATGTTAGAAAGGGATTCAGTGCAAATGCTATCAAAATTGAGGTGATACAAGACTGAGCTACATTGTACATTGGACTACATACCTATACATGGGAGTAAGAATTCCCCTTATGCCTCTTTGTGACCTAATAGACCTTGGGTCTTGCTGCGCCGGAGCATGCAGCACTATTTGCCCACTTCCTCCCTCCTCTGAGAAGGTAGAATGGACAATAGAGGAAAAATTATATGATGGCAAGCATGGATTGCCAGATTCTTTCTTTGTGTGTGTGTGTGTGTGTGTGTGATAATCTGCTGCTGGCATAGGCTAATATTTAATAACTATGCTATGGAGCAAGGAGGAAGCAGAAGTGTTGTATCTACACTAGAAACTTTTCCCAGTATAGTATTTTTTTTTTTACTATAATTCTATACCAGCAAAAACCCTATTGTAGATGCAGTTATACCAGCAAAAGGGCTTTTCTGGTTATTTATGTATTTGGTTATAGATTTGCTTTTGAGTGATGTC